CACATAGTCCTTCACTTGTTCTTCCTCTATGTAAGCGGTACATATCAATGTATATATTCTGAGCCACCTGCTTTTGACCAGTCCCCCAGGGTGAAAAGTATTTAAATACCTGTAAGAGATTATTGTCACATTTTGTACAACAAAAATAATGTTTTTTCTATATTATTCTTTACATAAATGTTTAGATGTATGGTGTCAGTAAAATGCACCAGCTTACGTCTTCTTCTTTTTCATGCTCGGCTCATACTCCCCACAATATGTAGTGAAAGAAACAATAACAAACTCCGAATAAATGTTCTGGAAAACATCCATTCAGCTGCATTCTGTGAAAATTTTTCACTCTGAAATATTGTAGTGATGCATTGCTTTCAAGGTAATACATGAGCGCAGTTATTGTGTAATACACTTGAGGTGGTCGCCAAAATGGCTTGAACCCACTGGTGTTCTTATCACACCTGGTGTAAGAAAGGGCTTGATGAGAAACAAATTACACCGTAGGGCATTCGTACAGACAGTCTGAACCATACCATACCTAATGGATATGTCCTTTTTTTTGCATTCATCTCGCATGTAGCGGTGATATTTTTATCTTGTTGATTGTGGCTGAACAAAGCCGCATTTAGACTGACCCTGTTGAGTGTCCCTCCTTATGCTCCTGTGGAAATTGGTCAAACTGATCTTGATCTTGCGTTAAATTTACGAGTTGCATATTTGTTTTTGAACAGAATCTGGCAGCTTCTACTCTGAAATTGTCATACTAGATGCAATCTAAGCGACACAGAGCTTTGCAGGAGGATGATAAAGCTGTGAAGCAATAAGGACTAGCTAAGTGAAAAGTCCTACAAATTAACAGAATAGAAAGTTGGGCGAGTTGGTGTGTATTCATATTAAAAGAAAAGCGGCGCACAAAAAGACGGAGACAAAGAAGAGAACCACACACAGCGCTGCACTCACAACTGAAAGTTTAATCCGAGCAACAAGAATTTAAAAAGTAATAGCCGCGCATGACAAGTGAGGTACAACGAGATTAAATGATACGCTCATCAATAAAAGTGAACTCTTTTTTGTGCAATGTAACCGAGGTCTGGCTTACGCAAGCATCACGTAACTTGTTAATATGATAGGCTTCAGACACCTCACGGGTGAATTGATCGTGGTGCTTAAAAATAATAACAGTGTTAGACAGATCAGGTGTGCACCCACACGTGGCACAATGCGAAGCCAAATGGGAAGGCGTGCCGTTATGCAAAGAGAGATAGTGCTCCCGCAACCTTTTATTGACACAGCGGCCCGTCTGTCCCACATAATGAAGGCCACAAGATAAAGGAATGCGGTACACCACCCCCACAACACAAGGCACATACTTATTTCTATGGTTTACGGCACATTTCTTTACATCTGGCTCGTCCTTCTTGTCTAGCTGATTTGACACCAATGCACATATCTTTCCCAATTTATTGGGTGCCCTAAAAACCACATCAACTCCGTAGCGGGAAGCAACATTTTTTAACCCATGTGCCAGTTTATGCATATAAGGAATTGCTGCGAACTTCATTTTTTCCCGATTGATTTTTCTAGCTGCACGTCCTTTTAAACCACCAATTAACTTATCGCAAACAGCCACAATTATGTTAGGGGGGAATCCTGCTTCCTCTAGTCTTGCAACTTGTTTAGCAAAACCCGAGCCCAACGTAGTGCCTGCGCGATTTTTCTAGAGCGGATTTAAGACAGGTGAAAGCGATGCCCCTCTTTACCACCTTTGAGTGGGCTGATCCAAAATTAAGAATTGGTTCCAAAATTAAGAATTAAGAATCGGTCAAAGGTGGTAAAGAGGGGCATCGCTTTCACCTGCCTTAAATCCGCTCTAGAAAAATCGCGCAGTCATATGTTGGGCTCGGGTTTTGCTAAGCAAGTTGCAAGACTAAAGGAAGCAGGATTCCCCCCTAACATAATTGTGGCTGTTGTGCGATAAGTTAATTGGTGGTTTAAATGGGCATCAGCTAGGAAAATCAATCGGGAAAAATGAAGTTCGCAGCAATTCCTTATATGCATAAACTGGCACATGGGTTAAAAAATGTTGGTTCCCGCTACGGAGTTGATGTGGTTTTTAGGGCACCCAATAAATTGGGAAAGATATGTGCATTGGTGTCAAATCAGCTAGACAAGAAGGACAAGCCAGATGTAAAGAAATGTGCCGTAAACCATAGAAATAAGTATGTGCCTTGTGTTGTGGGGGTGGTGTACCGCATTCCTTTATCTTGTGGCCTTCATTATGTGGGACAGATGGGCCGCTGTGTCAATAAAAGGTTGCGGGAGCACTATCTCTCTTTGCATAATGGCACGCCTTCCCATTTGGCTTTGCATTGTGCCACGTGTGGGTGCACACCTGATCTGTCTAACACTGTTATTATTTTTAAGCACCACGATCAATTCACCCGTGAGGTGTCTGAAGCCTATCATATTAAGAAGTTACGTGATGCTTGCGTAAGCCAGACCTCGGTTACATTGCACAAAAAAGAGTTCACTTTTATTGATCAGCGTATCATTTAATCTCGTTGTACCTCACTTGTCATGCGCGGCTATTACTTTTTAAATTCTTGTTGCTCGGATTAAACTTCCAGTTGTGAGTGCAGCGCTGTGTGTGGTTCTCTTCTTTGTCTCCGTCTTTTTGTGCGCCGCTTTTCTTTTAATTCTTACAAACTAATATTTCGAAAAAGAAATACCAGGCAGCACCCCGAAAAAAAATTAATGGACCTTAAAGCTTTACTTTTAAGAGTTGAACAAGATAGTGATGTGCTGTTTCTAGTGCGTACTTCAAACACTTAGTGCATGAAACATTTTTGAACTTGCTATGCACCCACTACGTGGCCTCAAGGAAATAGGCGGAGTAGTGTCTGTGCCTTTTGTTGAAGGTGACTGGTTTTAAGCCACGAAGCCATATGATTATCATTGATAACCACATGTTCTGATGCCAGCTGGCAATAGGCGCTTGCACCACACGGAATTACTGCAAGATTTCATGTTGCATTGTGAAGCCTGTACATAGGACGCCTGTTTGTAAAGCATGAAAGTTCATCACCATCATCATCAGCCTGACTACGTCCACTGCAGGACAAAGGCCTCTCCTATGTTCCGCCAGTTAACCCGGTCCTGTGCTTGCTGCTGCCAATTTATACCCGCAAACTTCTTAATCTCATCTGCCCACCTAATCTTCTGTCTCCCCCTAACCCGCTTCCCTTCTCTGGGAATCCAGTCAGTTACCCTTAATGACCAGCGGTTATCCTTTCTACACGCTACATGCCCGGCCCATGTCCATTTCCTCTTCTTTATTTCAACTATGATATCCTTAACCCCCGTTTGTCCCCTAATCCACTCTGCTCTCTTCTTGTCTCTTAAGGTTACACCTACCATTTTTCTTTCCATTGCTCGCTGCGTCGTCCTCAATTTAAGCTGAACCCTCTTTGTAAGTCTCCAGGTTTCTGCTCCGTAGCTAAGTACCGGCAAGATACAGCTGTTATATCATCATCATCATCATCATCATCATCATCACCATCATCATCAGCCTGACTATGTCCACTGCAGGACAAAGGCCTCTCCCATGTTCCGCCAGTTAACCCGGTCCTGTGCTTGCTGCTGCCAATTTATACCCGCAAACTTCTTAATCTCATCTGCCCACCTAATCTTCTGTCTCCCCCTAACCCGCTTCCCTTCTCTGGGAATCCAGTCAGTTACCCTTAATGACCAGCGGTTATCCTGTCTACGCGCTACATGCCCTGCCCATGTCCATTTCTTCTTCTTGATTTCAGCTATGATATCTTTAACCCCCGTTTGTTCCCTAATCCACTCTGCTCTCTTCTTGTCTCTTAAGGTTACACCTACCGTTTTTCTTTCCATTGCTCGCTACGTCGTCCTCAATTTAAGCTGAACCCTTTTTGTAAGTCTCCAGGTTTCTGCTCCGTAGCTAAGTACCGGCAAGATACAGCTGTTATATACCTTCCTCTTGAGGGATAGTGGCAATCTACCCGTCATAATTTCATAGTGCTTGCCGAATGTGCTCCACCCCATTCTTATTCTTCTAGTTACTTCAATCTCGTGGTTCGGCTCTGCGGTTATTACCTGCCCTAAGTAGACATAGTCTTTTACAACTTCAAGTGCACTATTACCTATCTCGAAGCGCTGCTCCTTGCCGAGGTTGTTGTACATTACTTTCATTTTCTGCAGATTAATTTTAAGACCGACCTTTCTGCTCTCCATGTCTAACTCCGTAATCATGAGTTGCAATTCGTCCCCTGAGTTACTCAGCAATGCAATGTCATCGGCGAAGCGCAGGTTACTAAGGTATTCTCCATTGACTCTTATCCCTAACTGTTCCCATTCTAGGCTTCTGAAAACCTCCTGTAAGCACGCGGTAAATAGGATTGGGGAGATTGTGTCCCCCATGAAAGTTACTTTCACTGTAATTTCCAGCAGAGGAAGTTCTTTTCACTGTTTCTACTAGTAGAGGCGTGGTCGTGTGGTAGAGCAAATGCTTGCCACGCAAACGACCTGTGCTCGATCCCCACTTAAATCAGAACAACCTTGTTGGGTCCCTTCTCAGCTCCAGGCTTTTTTATCATTTATTTATATCTTAATTGCATCATTCGCAATTTTCGGTCACGCAGAAGATGATGATTTTTCGCTTACAACTAATGATGCTGACGCCGGAATCTCTGCAAAACAAGCTTTTTAATGCTGTCGTGTCAATGAAGACAAGTTTCTCGCCTAATCATTAGGTTGATAAACACCTATTTCGACCACTTTTCGGTTGAACTATATCAATTCTCAAAGGATATACTGCATAAAAATTATATTGTGAGTTCACCTCCTTGCTATGCTTCAAGGATTAGTTCATTTGCACGAAGAAAAGAGTAGTTGACTTGGACACATTGTAACTTCTTGAGGTGTTACGATGTGTGAAGTACATGAATTCAGCTCATTTTGACCATACTTTATTTTTGCAGGGTATGGACTGCTGCAGTGATACAGCCATCTCATTCCACTACGTCAGCCCTAACATGATGTACGTCATGGAGTACCTTGTTTACCATCTGCGACCGTACGGCATAGACACCAGTATACGCCTAAAGGCTCCAGGGAAACAGAGTGCAACCAACTGGACTAATGTGTCATGATCAGTCGGAAATTCTTAAACCAGGCACTCCGCGCTGCTGCACTAAGTCATCATTCATATACTTCAGTGATGGTACTCTTCTGTGCTCAATGTGCAGGCAACACTCGTCAATGTGCACTGGAGCTGTGACAACATGAAACTATTGTGTGTAGATTCCGAGTTGTAGCGTTATACGAAGATGGTGGGCTTGAAGCTGAACGTAGGGCTATGGCTTTGTTCAACTCAATCCTCTGCAGTGCATTGTAAATGTAGAATATCTAATGCTACTATTCACTATGTGTGACTTGCCGATGGCTGAGCTGCCCATGATGCGAACATAATAGACATAAAACAAATTTGAATGATCGAATTCCTAGTCACTACATGGGTAATCAGGCTTGTGGTCTTATCTGTAGTTGGGGCATTTACTTTCCTGTATGTTTCGTTGTGATCTCAGAATATCGCTAAAGAAGCTGTGTTGAATTGATCCATGGTAACTGTACATGTAGCAAAGTGCCATACCTATGCAAAGTTCACCGGAACTGCTACAAAGGGACAAAGTTGATAGTGTCCTTTTCCTAAAGCTTACGGTAAAATAATTTTAAGGTATTTGGTAACATAAAAGTTAGAAGTTAATTATCTAAAAGTGTTATATGCTCCTTGGAATGCGACATCGTCATATCAGGACATAACGACAAGGAGCCATTTAGGAGCCTTATTTTTGAACAATTTTGCTCAAGAGGGTGAGTTTGCGAATGTTTTCAATAATGGGCATTTTATTTTTGTCTCGGAAATAAAGGAGGAGTTGCTGAAAAGGTTTCATCGCTGCAGTGCTATCATAAGGGAGACTGTATTTTGTTTACTAGTAAGATGGGCAGGTACATTTATACATTAAGTTTACTTCCAATTAGTCTGAAGATTTTCTGAGACGTTTTTGCACTCATTGCTTTCAATATGCAGTGCTTGTGAGTTTCATGGATGTTTATCTCAGTCTCTGATTTATATCCCATCTGCTGTAATCAGTAGCCATATATATCTTAAGTTTTGTACAGTAGCAGCCGATGTGACAGTGCAATAGAATATATGGTGTTTAAGGACATCTACTTACTTATCTATCAGCTGATCCATATTATCTCCATGAGCTATTTTCGTCTCTGTCTTACTGAAATAATTATGCGAAATTGAGTTATGCCAGAATAACAAAATATTTATTTACAAAATTATGTGTTTATGATGAGCTACACTTAGTGCCATGTCGAACGTGATGACTGGTCGGAATCGTTTAACTTACGAGCACTACAGTCTCGGATTTTTTCCGCCCACTTTTGTTAAAACAGAAGTAAGTGTGACGTACATGTTTATCACCATAATTTTAGCCGGTTCAAATTGAAATAATAGAATATATCTGAGAGCTATAAGGAACCAAAGTGGAAATTTAAGAAAAATGTACGTCAGCTACGTGGCGTTATGTCGAGCTGTGTGTGGCAGTAAAATGAGCACACAGTATTCAGGGCGTTTTCTTAGACAACACAGATCTCTAATTAAAATACTATGATAATGAGGTTCACGTTTCCACCCACTAACTCCACATCAATGAACAATACTTTGCCACAAATGAAATGACACTGTTTCGTATAATTAACAAAACAGCACGCAAAATAAACTTTTAATTATCGACTTGAGGACAAGTGCAAAGCTGTCGTAGAGCGTGCTAAGTTAGAGCCCATTTAATTTTTAGAAAACACGAAAGTTGGTCGTTGTTCGAGGTATTCATCACTAAAATTTATCGGCAAAATTGATACTTATTCCACAAAGCACACACGAAGCTCTACCGTTATGCTACGTCAGACCGAAAACTAGCCGTCACAAAAGAGTTAACAAATTTGGATGACGGGGCGCTTCACAACTAGGTTTCGTGAAAAGCAAAGGTAAGGCATTGCTTTACCTTTGCGAGCAATGTTTGGTGCTCATCTGTTTCCAATTGTGCGCAAGATAACCAAAATATCAAGCTCTTCTGCATCTCAGCAGCATAAAACTCAGGCAAGTCACTGCGGTGCTGTTTCAGGCAGGCAGGCTAAATAGTTTTTCACGCCTCTTCAAGCTTGTGGTAACCTCCCCGTAATCGAGAACACGGCTGGTTCAATCTTAGCGACCCACAGGGCAGTGTATACTGTCACCTGCTCACGTATAGCGCACTGCTGTGCACACGCTCAAGTCGCAAAGCATTTAACACTTCATTGCCTTTGGCAGCGCCCTGAAACAACGTAGAGGGTCTCTTCTCCGGATGCGGGGAGCAAATAGATCTCGCACGGCGCTCGGGAAAAGGTTCCTCGCGAATATGCTGCGCATAGTCTGCTCGCAAGCGATTGGGGAAATCTCGTACGTGTACGCTTCCGATAATTGCGCCTCAGCGTAGCACAACCACGCATGGGCACTAGGCATCACTCTTTGGATTGTAGTATGGACCCAGAGTTAGCATCAAACAAAAACACGTCCGCAGTCAGGCAGGCTACAGCCCGGTGATTCCCGAAGGAGACGGGACAGGAAAGAAGTGCTCACAGTGCGCTGCCCGAGAAAAGAAAGAGATTGTTCTCGGCGCGCACGTGACTTGGTCTCGCTGTAGTTCGTGGCCCAAGACCACGCGCAGCTAGAGTGACTGTATATGAACCATATACAGTTAGTCTACGCAGAGGGTCTGTGCGGCGCCATTTTTCGCCGTGCCGTCACAGGAGCATGGGAGAAGGCAAGGGAGCGGCAGCATATATTTATGTATTTGCAGTACTGCCAGTCACTTCTGGGGCCATAGATGGACACAAAAAAGTAGCATACACTTTGCACTTCATACGTGAGCAATCTTTACACTAGATATATAAAAACAAAATACAAGAGCATATAAATGGCAAATTGAACGACAAAGGCTTCTTACATGACTATTTACAAAATACAGAAGTACATGCTGGTATTATTATTCATGTCACTGACTACTGAAAATTAAATTTTCACAGTGATAGCTGCAGGGTCGCGTGCGCCGTAGTGGTCCGCTGCCAGCACCGGGGTCGTCAACCACTGTCGCGCTAAGTAAGAAGAAAAAAACGAATTAGCAAATAAAGGCACCAATCACACTATGGGATTCTAAGGCGGATCCCCTGCATGCCAGCCCGGAATTCAGAAAGCCACGCAGACCAGAGAGCCACGCTGATCCTTTGAAGTCCGTTCCAAACTACCTTAAGGCAGGCTTGATGTCGGGAAAGGAATCGCGTTAACATGAGTAATAAAGCGTTTAAAAACAGTAAAAAAAACAGCCAGGCGTCACACAATGTGAATTGTGCAACGACAGGGTCGTCAAACCCATTACAAAAGCGTCGGGCATAATTGTTCATCGTCGTGAGCCGCAGTATAAAAGAATGCCCGAAATTGTGTGTAGCGGGTACCCCACTTCTCCGAAGAATGACCGAGGATGACAAAGCGGCATAGCGAATGCCTAGCCATTCCCCCACAGTAGATATGAGCCACAAGAGAAGGTGTACAAGAACAAGAACACCTGTCTACTACCCAAAATATATGATTTGTGGCGTAGTGGGCACCCTGCCAGGGGCGGCGCCAGGATGTTTTTACTGGGGGGGCAACCACGAAAAGTGAGTTCCTCCGGGGGGGCAAGCTAGCTCTGCTCCTACTAGGTTTTCAATATATGCTTCCGGGCACTTGGGTGGGCATAGGGGGGGCAGGCGAGAATATTGGGGGGGCTCCAGCCCACCCTTGCCCCCCCCTGGCGCCGCCCCTGCACCCTGCAAGTGTTTATGCAGCAGCTACTCAAATTTGGAGGAGCCATTAGCTTTGCCTTTAGGAGTACATGTTGTCCCTACTACATCTTTCAACCACCTTGTGAATGAAATCTTTTCAAACTTGCTATGCACCCACTACGTGCCCTTTAGGGAATATGTGTGCAGTAATGTGTGTGCTTTTTGTAGTGGGTGACTAGGTTTAACCAATGAATTGGTTATGATAATGAGATGTTCTGAGGCTCGGTGTCAATGCATGCTTGTACCACACATTATTACTGCAATATTTATTGTTGTAATGCAAATCACATGCACAGAACATGCGTGTTAGTAAAGCACAAGTGTTACTTTGCCTGCATTTCCAACCAGAAAAAGTTATTTTTACCACGTTCACATGCAGACGCGTGGCTGTATTGTGAACATCCGCTTGACATGAAAATGACCTCGGCTCGATTCCCTCTCAGGCCTAGAATTTCTTATAGTGTATTTCATTTGCTTCTTTCTCCCTTTTTTCTTCACTGACTAGATGGCGATTTTCCGCGCACAACCGCCGACGCTCAAATTTCAGCAAAACGAGCTCTTTAAATCTATCGCGATAAAAAATACTCTTAAAGGCGTTGTTCCAGCTTTTGCTGTCACAGTGCTCCGCATTTCCCGCAAATTTCCGACTCAAATTGAGATAGAGACTCAGCATTACAGATGTGAGATGCCGAAATATTCTATTCAGGGATGGTTACTGGACAAAAGGGAAACTTGAACTGATAACTGTTGCATTTGTTCGTAGGTTTGTGTCTGCCGGGTCGCATTTGTGAATAAGAAACATAATTTAAAGTGTCTATTTTAAAATAATTGTGGATGAGTTAAGAAATTTAAACATGTCCTTTTTCGCTCGTGCTTGTAGTGCAGGAATGCCTGAAATAGAAGATTAGTGCATGAGTGTTGACGCCGTAGTTTTGCGTTAGATGAATTATATGACGTTCCTCTGTACCGCTTCGATTTTCTTATGTTAGTGCGGGTGTGAGGCAACCAGATTTTACATCCGTATTCGAGGAAGAGTCTGACGAATGTTTTGTAGGCTAAAAGCTTTGTTGAGAACACTCCCTTTTCCTTCAAGTTTTCTTCGAAGAAAACATAATTTTTGTTTTGCTGTGGAAGTGATCGAAATAATGTGCTCGTCCACCTGAAACAGAAGGTAATGTTAAGAATACGTATTTCTGTTTGTGTACTCTGGTCAGAGCTGTACCATATATAGTGCAGCAAAATTGAAGGCTCCCTTTTTCTTGTTATCGTCATGCTAGCTGATGTTTTTCGTATTGATTGCCATCTGCCAGTTGGAGAACCATTAGGTAATAGCATAGAGGGAATCATTGAGCGGGTACTGATCATGGTCAGTTTCAATTTCTCTATAAATGATAGTCATTCATGAATAACTTTATTTTACAGTGCATATTAGCACATATGTCAATAATATACTCGAGAAACAGGAAGGGCCCGAGCACAGTACCCTGGGGCACTACTGTGGTAGAACAATTGATGCGATATGCTAGAAAATCACAAACTGGGACCTATTAAACAAAACTCAGGCAGCGAAGCACACAATGCTCCGACAGTGTTTAGTTATTAGCTTGCTGTGACAAACGCAAATGCTTCAGAAAACTCAAGTGAAGTTATGTTCATTTGACTGTTAGTGTCGATTTCTAGCGCGAAACTGTATATAATCCCGGTTAGCGGCGTTGTGGTGAATAAACCCCTCGAAAATGATGCTGCTATCGGAGAGAATGCCTTCATTTTCGAATAAAAGTGTAAATGTTTTAGAATTATATGTTCAAGTAGTTTGAATACCGTGCTCGTGAAAATATTGGTGAGAAATTAAATTTAATGGATTGATCTACTGATTTAAAAATTGGAATGATTTCAGCTATTTTCCAATCTTTGGATAGTTTAGATGTTGAAAGTGATTTATGGAAAATATGGCTCCGGTGTCTGTGGCACCACTCTGCGTACCTTTTTAGAAATCGGTTAGGTATATTGTCCGGGCCA